CTGCTCTGAACAGTTGATCCTCAGTACCTAAACTCCTGCACCTTCACCACCTCTGCTCCTTGTAGCCTCAGAAACATCAACTGCTGGATCAGTAATAATGGTTTGGGGCAGCGGTGGCTTAGTGGTTAACGAAGTGGACTTGGGTCCAGATCAGGTTCGAGTCCACCAGCTGCCAAGTTACCAGTGAGGTGCTCTGAGCGTGGCACCGTCCCCACACACTGCTCCACTGTCCACTGTGGTGATGGGTTAAAAACAGAGGTCACATTTGGTGGTGTGCAGTGGTGAACAATGACAAGGAGTTCACTTTCCTTTGTCTTTCAGGATGAAGAGAAGGCAGAAGACGAAATGGCCAAACGTCGCGCTGCCTTCCTGCTCAAACAGCAGCGCAAAGCTGAAGAGGCCAGGCTTCGCAAACAACAGCAGGAGTCCGAGAGTGAGCTCAGACGTGACGAGGCCAGGTACATCCCTCTCCCCACTCACTGAAGAACGGGTTGTAAAAGTAAAGATTTGTCATCAGGTTAATTGTTCGTTGTTTCTCTCCCAGGCGTAAGGCGGAGGAGGACCGCATTCGTAAGGAGGAGGAGAAGGCGCGGCGCGAGCTGATAAAGCAGGAGTACCTGCAGAGAAAGCAGCAGGCACTGATTGAGGAGCAGGGTCTCGCCAAACCTCGACCGCGAACCAAGTCACGCAAGCACCGGCCGAAGTCTCTCCACCGAGAGGAATTCAACAGCCTCACCAAAGGAGGCACCGCGCGTATGAAGACAATCGGTGATTTGAATTTAATTGTAGTCATAAATGTGCATCGGTCGAATAAAGACAACGACACGGGCATCTCTGTGTTTCATTTGTAATTGAAATGTCTATCATACTAAGACGTTTGGCCTTTTGCCTTTTTCCAACAGATCTGAGCTGCAGTCATCGAGGATCGACTCTGTCTTTGGCGACCGAAGCCGACAGCGTCATCTCTGGAGATGCAGAATCACAAAGGTTCGAGATTTTAAGGAAAGATAGAGAGAAGGATGAGCACTTGTTTAAATGTGACATTTAGCATTTCTGTTTACTCTTCAGGGCTGGATCTGTGTGCTCCGTGGAGTCGTTCCCTGTGCTCAGTAGGGCGTCCAGCAGGAACATGGAGCGCGACNNGGTTCCATAGCTTCGTCCATCACTTCATCAGAATACAGTGGTGAGTAGGAAATACGAAGTAAATTAAGATTAAACTGTGACAAGTTACTTAATTGTTGGTGAATGATTTTCTAGAGGCTCCTGCTAAAGAATCAATGAATAATAATAATTAGATCTAATAAGAGTATTAGATCAGCTGACTCTTTCTATTGATTCTTAGTGAGTTTCAAGAGTATTAGATCAGCTGAGAACTCTTTCTATTGATTCTTAGTGAGTTTTCTTCAGTGTTCTTTAGTTTCTTTGCTCTCCCACAACAATGAATGAATCATCTTGGCCTGTGAGCAAAATCAGTATATTTGAGAAAACATCATTTTTAGATAAGAAACAGAGGAATCAGAGGGTTTTCCACAATCCACAGTCATCCTCTCAATAATTACTGCTTAAAAACAATCCTGAAAGGGGAACGTAGCTCCGTTTCTGCTTTATGTCAGAACTCACGTGCTGTACTTAAGCACGTATTGATTCACTGTTTTCTCTTGAAAAGGTCCTAAACTCTTCAAGGAGCCGAGCTCCAAGTCCAACAAGCCGATCATCATCAATGCCATCGCTCACTGCTGCCTGGCTGGAAAAGTTAACGAGACGCAGAAGAATGTTATTCTCGAGGTTTGTGTGATCTCCTTTAGTCCTTTAGTTGAGTCATTTAGTTCAGGAATAGCTGGTTACACAGAAAAAAGTATGAGCGGAAAATAACGTCTGGTGTCGGTTCTCTCAGGAGCTGGAGAAGTGCGAGTCCAACCACCTAATCATCCTGTTCCGTGATGGCGGATGTCAGTTCAGGGCCATTTACGCGTACTCTCCAGAGACGGAGGAGATCATCAAATTCACAGGCACCGGACCTCGATCCATCACCCACAAGATGGTGGACAAGGTCTACAAATACAGCTCCGACCGAAAACAGTTCACCATCATCCCTGCCAAGAGTGTGTCGGTCAGCGTGGACGCTCTGACCATCCACAATCACCTGTGGCAGGTCAAGAGAACAGGCAGTGCACTGAGGAAGTGACGGAAACAAGTTGATGGAACGTTTTTACAGATTGTTTTCACTGTTGGGCAGGACCCAATGATGTGGGAGATGATTGACATGTGATGAGGGAGGGGAGACGTCAGATGTCAGAACACACAGAGCACCTGTCATTTGAAAACACACTTTCTTTTCCTTTTTAATCGAATCGTCTTATTTTGCATGAAACACAGTTACATGATGGCGTGTACGTCGTGGATGTAAAACTAATGATGAAGAGGAAAACAGACTCCGGCGCTGAATACTACTGAATACTCCTGAATACTCCTGAATACTACTGAATACTCCTGAATACTCCTCCAGTGGTACCAAGCATAACTACAGACTGGCTGCAGAACAAAAACACTTTCCATGTATTGTAACATTTGCAGTTTCAGCTTGGCAAAAAAACAACAAAAAAAAAAAAACCCAGAAAAACAGCCCAGCAGTTTACAGTTTATTTGCTGGTAATTCCTACTGTTCAGTACTTTTTTAATGAAAGTGAGAGATGGATGTTTGTCTTCTGTTTCCTTTTCTATACCGTGTGTGTTTGGGGAAGTGTGTGAGTGTTGGTGCCAGGGTACAGGACAGTTGGTGTCAGTGTTTATTGTACTCTCCTGCTAACGCTTTGAAACTTTTGTCCTGCAACGGATCAACAGAGCAAAGCAACACAACATGTTTTTTTTTTTTTGAAGGCGCACTAATTGTTACGAGTATTATTCCATACAAAAGAGCTTCTCAGACCTGTTATTTATTATTGATGATGAGCGGTGCACTACGTCGTATTAAAGTGAATTCCAGCAGCCATGTAAACGGCCTGAGGTTCCTGGATGGCTCTTTACTGCTGCTCCACATTGAACTGAGCTGTTTGCTGCTCCTCACCTGCTCACTAGTCTGCGGTGGGCATGAAATTTTAATGTAGCTTCTGGCGTCGGCACTCGTGCGGTAATGTCCCTGTAATGACTGACCGAGCAGCTGGTATATTGTTTGGAGGAAGAAAAAAAAAACTGCACAATTTTTTTGATATTTGTTTTGCTGCATTTTGTACATTTTTGGTTGTTATTTTCAGTGGTTCGTTATGTTTATGTTGTTTTGTTGTTTTATGTTTATTTATTTTGAAGCGAAATAATAAAATCCGACTAGATTTGTTTTCTTGCTAAAGTGCTGTTTGTGTGTGTGTGTGTTGAGTCAGTGTACTGCGTCTGTTACCACACTTAGACACAATTGAGTAAAATGAAAACTAATATTGTTCCGTGAAGTCTAACACTATTTAATGAGTTAAGATTTAAAGGGTGTGTGTTAAACAGATTATGAAAACTAATATTGTTCCGTGAAGTCTTCATCAAATGTCAGTAACAGTCTGTGGTGGAACTGGAGCAGCTGTGGAACATTTCTGCCTTTACCTTTAAATGTTAATGACTCACTCAGTGCTGCGTCAACTTAGACCTTAGAACGACTTTATGTAACCATGGCAACAGTTACATAAAGCCATCCTCAGGGGCATTAGTCAGAGAATCAGGTATGTTTGTTTTTTTTTTTTTAAGTGTGCAAGTGCATGAAGTTACGTATGCTATTCTGGCAGGTATGATAAACTGACAGGACGCCAGACAACAACTGTAACCGTTTGATCCAGAGTCAGAGCCAGAAGAAGAAGAAGAAGAAGAAGAAGAAGCTCCGGAAGAACGTGGAGAGACAAGAATGAAGCAGGATGTTCACAGTGGTTAGTAGTGGTTCTTTTAAAATTACTTTTATGGTGATATGTAGATTAGACATCAGTTCTGGAACCTCAAATATTTATATCGTATAGCTCGGGTTCCTTTAGCAACTCTTGGGTTGATCATGATAGCGGTCCATCAGTCAGCTGTTATTTTATAGATTATTATTAGCACCTGCAGCTTTTGTGCGTGGAGTTTTACTGTAAAGTAGTTCCAAGCTAACGACACATTAGCTCTAGCTCATTAGTGTGACATTCTTCTCCTGTTACATCACAGCACGCAGGCACAAAACAGGCCATCTGGTCGCTGGTCTCTGGTCGCTGGTCGCTGGTCTCTGGGCCAGTCATACTAGGAACCAGAGGTGGGATCAAGTCATTGCTTTGCAAGTCACAAGCAAGTCTCAAGTCTTTGCACTCAAGTCCGAGTCAAGTCTGAAAATTTTCAAATGAAGTCAGAAGTCCTGCCGTTTCTGTTTCGAGTCCTTTCTAGTCCTTTTAAACAAAATAATAATATATTTACAAAGATCACTTTGGGTTTTGGAAAAAAGTGTTAAGTCATGTCGAGTCAAAGGGCTCGAGTCCAAGTGAAGTCACGAGTCGTTGATGTTAAACTCCGGGTCGAGTTGCAAGTCTCTTTACATTTTCTCAAGTCAAGTCTAAAGTCATCAAATTGATGACTCGAGTCTGACTCGAGTCCAAGTCATGCGACTTGAGTCCACACCTCTGCTAGGAACTGTCTGATTCTGGTCACTGGATCAGTACGTCAATATTTGCATCCTTGATAAATGATGACTTGATTAATTTCAGACTAGTGTTTTGTTGATTCTAGTTATGATTGTGTTTATAACAAAAATACCTGATTATTGTGTTTTAGAAATCACCAAGTAAAACGTACAGAACTCTGTGTGTGAATTAGTGATGTTCGATACCACCAATTTCCTTTCCGATCCGATACCGAGTAAAATTCGGGCTGGTATCGCCGATACCGATATTGATACCGATATTTTATCATTTGTCTTTAAGAATTCAAGGCAGAGTTTATTTATTTATTTATTTATTTTAAACTCTGGAGTGTACTGAGGTAGCTGCCTCATTTACTATACAGTCAACACAACAATGGAAAAACATGAGAACACAATCATATAAAATATGTCAAAACAATGTTTCAAACTCTGAAAACATGTTATTTGTAAAACAAAAATAAAAAATAAATAATCTGAGGAGCCATTTGGGACCCGAAAGCGTCGGATTTTTTCAGTGAACCGAGCCAAAAGAACCGGTTCTTTAAAAAAAGAGCCGAAATTCCCATCAATAGTGACTGAGTGAGAGCACGGAGTAGAGCCCCTGTGCTTACGCATGACGCACACACCCAGGCGGAAGAAGAAGTAGTCCCACCAACCGAGCGTCACTTAGACAACATCTCAATAATTTGGATACTTTTCACCATGTTTCTGTTTAGGATACACCTCATCTCAGAATGCGTAAGTATCAAAAGTATCGATATTTTGATTTCAGAATCGATTTCAGAGCATAAAGATCCAGAATCGGAAGTATCGATATTTCAGGATCGATCCGCACATCACTAGTGTGAATATCTGGTTGTGTACACTTACTACTTACTCAGACTTGCAGTATCAGTACATGTCAGGCTTACTCCTTCACTCCTATCACCTTCTCTCTTCTGTAATCAGCCTCACCTCCTACACCTGCCCTCTGGTGGTTTCCCTCCACTCTGATTATCTGACGGTCTCCACCTGTGTCCGTTTGTCTCCAGAAGTATAAATACTTCTCAGACCCTTCACTTCACTTTGGTGTGGCTGTGTGTGAAGAGGGAGAGCTCTGACTGTCTTAGTGTTTGTGTCTTTTTAGAAATAGCTGTTGATGTGGAACTGAAGCTTCTGGAAGCTTCTCAGCCAAATGCTTTATAAAATTAGAGTTAAATCCTCAAGGCTTCGTGCTTGCTCACTCCACCACCCTTCCTCGCTGGTCAGTGTCTTTGTCTTAACCTAACACCTGTGGACATGGGGACAATGACAATTGCCAGGCTTGAGAAATACATTAATTTTCATTTAACTGCATATTTGTACTTGTGACAAGAGAGACACTGGGTTTTTGTTGACTGTTAAAAGTGTGTTCTTTGCAATGGGTATTAATGGAATTAATGTATTACATCAGTCATGATGGTTTATAATCTGGTTTATAATCTGGCCCGACAAACACTTATGGTGAAGATTTGAGTTCCTTCTGCAGTGCAATGGGTTGATTGAAATTTCTGTTAATGCCACTAGAGGGCAGCAGAGATCAAATGTTCCTACTTTTTTTTTTTTTTTAAAGGTTTAAATTTGTACATTGTATTAATATTTTTTCACCCAAACATTCTGCATCCAATCAATACTGGATGCAGAATGGCGGTCAAATTTTGAACCTCAGTTTGAGCCTCTGTTTGAACCTCAGTTTGAACCTCAGTCTGAACCTCAGTTTGAGCCTCAGTTTGAACCTCAGTTTGAACCTCAGTTTGAACCTCAGTTTGCACCTCAGTTTGAACCTCAGTTTGCACCTCAGTTTGAACCTCAGTTTGAACCTCAGTTTGAACCTCAGTTTGAACCTCAGTTTGAACCTCAGTTTGAACCTCAGTTTGAACCTCAGTTTGAACCTCAGTTTGAACCTCAGTTTGAACCTCAGTTTGAACCTCAGTTTGAACCTCAGTTTGAACCTCAGTTTGAACCTCAGTTTGAACCTCAGTTTGAACCTCAGTTTGAACCTCAGTTTGAACCTCAGTTTGAACCTCAGTTTGAACCTCAGTTTGAACCTCAGTTTGAACCTCAGTTTGAACCTCAGTTTGAACCTCAGTTTGAACCTCAGTTTGAACCTCAGTTTGAACCTCAGTTTGAACCTCAGTTTGAACCTCAGTTTGAACCTCAGTTTGAACCTCAGTTTGAACCTCAGTTTGAACCTCAGTTTGAACCTCAGTTTGAACCTCAGTTTGCCCACCTGTGTTTTATGTGTGTGTCCTTATCTACAACCTGAACCTTATTAAATGTCAAAACCTTAGTTAAGTTAAAGTAAAAAGTAAAACATTTACAGTTGTCTTTTTTTTTTTAAATGATGCCACTTTAATGTGCCAAATGGGACAAAATGAACCTGACATACAAATATTTCAATCAAGTTTACAATTTACAATTGTAAATTGCTGTGAAAATGACGAAACCCTTTAAAAAATACATTATTTTTCCGATCGGAGAGAAATACATCAAACACCTCTTAATGTAAAATACTGAACATGTGACATAAAACAGGATTAAAGGGTTAAACAAGGGTTGGACTGAGCCACTGAAAAGCCACACAACATACTGTATCAAGTGTGTAACCACCGATGCTTGAACATCTAGAAGTTTCCTTTAGCTACACAGTCAAACTGAAATATACTTTTAATGCAGAGATTTTACTTGAGCCAAACGTCGATAAATATCTGACATGTGTTCACCGTGACTATGACACGTTCCTTATATACAGCTGATCCAGGCAAATACTTTAAAATGTTTTAAAATGTTTTCACTCAAGTGGTTCCAGAGAATTCCTGTCACACATTCGTTTGAGGCGCTCTGTCTCAGACCACAGCGAGTGAGTCACACGGCACAACCCGCCCTGTCGCTCAGACTGGACCTGTGTGGACAGAACCAGACTCGTATGTAGAGGGCAGTAAAGGGGGAGAGGAGTGAGTTTGAGGACGGAGGGTCGGCGTCTCTTCAGTGATGAGCGTCCTCTCTGGTTTCCAAGCCCGACTTGTGTCTTTCTTTCAAGGTGCTGTGGTTGACAGGAGGTTCATCAGGTACATGAGCGAGAGGGTCTGAACGAATCAGGTACCTGGAGGACAGGAGGGTGAGGAGGGTGAGGTCAGTGAGGAGGGTGAGGTCAGTGAGGAGGGTGAGGAGGGTGAGGAGGGTGAGGTCAGTGAGGAGGGTGA